GGGGGGGGCACACAAACAGGCGGTTAGGCTGGGGGCTCTCAGGCCCTGGGGGAATGAGGCAGACTCCACACCCCTGAGTGGAAGACAGGACAGCAGTGAGACAAAACTGCAGATCAAGCGAGCCGAGAGGACAGTCGCATACGTCACGGCAGAGGTGCAGGCAAACACCTGCACAGGTGCGCATGTTTGCTGACAGGCAATGCTGGTGTGGTGGCTTTGCGGCCATTCCGTTCCGGTGCGTTCTCCAGCTCCGAGGATTCACCAGCTGAAGCAGCAAATCGAGTATCCAGGGTGCCGAAAGAACCCGTCTGGCGATGTCCACGGCGCTGGGGGTGAAGCTCGGTCTCGGTGGGGCGGGGCAGGTCAGACCTGCTAAACTGCACACCCCCGTCACGGCACCTTCTATTCAGGATTAGCAGAAACACATTCCAGGTCCTTAACACACTCAACACCCCAGGCCCCCACCAGGCCCTCCAGCTGGACACTGTAAGAATACTGGTTTGGGAAGCACTTTTCCATGCAGAAAAACATCAACCAGATTCAGGCACATTCACAGATTATCAGCAGTTCAGAAACACAAGTTTACCAAACTGCATATTTTTGGATCGCAACAGGAAATCCAGAAAATTGTCACGGTAAGACCGGGAAACAGTGTTTGAAGGTGAGAGACGGAAAAGCCACTCATTACAGGATGAAGGTAAATACATTATTATACATATTGACCCTTACCAGGAAAAATAGTCTCAAGACAGATGGAAAAAATATATATTTATCTGCCTTTATCTACAATGCTGCTTAAACACATATCAAAAAGTATGTCTAAAGCAGTTTTTCACCAACAAGCTGATTGAGAACAAAACAGGTCTTTCAACCCTTTACACAGCAGACTGCCAGTTCAAATTTCATCACTTACTTTAGGTTTTCTTCACTTTTAATTCAGAGACACATTTGTACATAATAAGCTGCAGTTAATCATGGAGCATGACAACAAAACGGAAGTATAAAAGGAGAACAGCAGCTGTCCGTGATCAGGGGTTTCCCTAAAGAACCTGTCCAATATATTACCTCATTTTCCCAGAGAGAGGAAACTCTATAATCGCATTAGTAAATAAACATGGAGAATGGTAGCAATGATGGGGAAAAAAAAACATCTGAAAAAGAGGAAGGAGACATAAACTTTTGAATTCAAGGTGAATTTTCTAATTGACTAAACTTTAGGAAAGTGGAATTATGTAGAATAGCATTTTCCTGCTGAGTAGTTTCAGAGTGCAGAGATGCCCAGAGCTGAATGCCAAGCCATCAACAGTCAGCAGTCACTGGCCATTTACTCCTCAAGGGGGGGCAGGACGAGTCACATGGCGGCCCTCCCCCATCACCCAGGAGTTCCTTCTCTTTTTCTAGACACTCCACTCTTAAATCTGTTAGCGCCCCCAAAACGACACGCTACGTTCCCCTCTTCGGTGGTGCTCAGCTGCCATTCAGCCTGTACCTGTGTAGCACCTCTGTGGGTTATTTCTCCCCTCATTCTGTCAGCTTACATTTAAAGAATTACAGGAGGGCACTGGCGTGTGGTGCTTTGGAGGTGCCACACTACCGTCAACGTGCTGATTTCACTGCATATGTAAGGGAATACCAACACTGATATTCAAGCAAAACTATGGATTCCATTCTACACAACAGCCAAGGGTGACCAGCATTTTTTCCAAACTAGGTTTTATTTAAATTACAAATGAGAACAGTCTAACGATTTTCATTTTATAACAAGGACACAACACCTGTGTAGCATTTCAAAGCTACAAATTGCAAATACACTTTGCAGGAAGTACAGTAAATTTTGCAAGTTTCTAATGTACAAAAGTGGTTTATAAATCATTAAACTAGTATAACGACAATGTGCAGAAATATATATATATGTGTGTGTGAACTGTAATCCGCACTGAAAACAGGATGACAGAACTTCTTTAACAGTTTATATAGAGTTTAACTTAATCTTAACAACCAAACATGGTTATGCAATAGTAGATACATTCTTTGAACAAGACTAAGTAATGACGTCAAACATCCTTCTTCATGCGGATGAGAACAGCAAATAAATTACAAGACAGGCAATAACCTTTCAGTGACCACTGAAACACCAGAGATGGGAATCGCTCCCTGGTGTTCGTGGAGGGGATTTGCGCAGGAAAAAGGGTGACACACATGGGTGAGGGCTGGTTTCAGGTGGGATGACGGGGGGGGACTAGTGTTTCAGGGGAGGGTACAAACTGGCAGATGTGTAGAGATTAAAAGTGGGCTGGTCATGAAGTATACCCTCATTTAATTTTAACTAGAAGCTTATGTGTGGGAAAAATTGAAGTCTACACATATATTTTGCATTGTCTTGAGAGGGTGGCGTTTGGTTAAATTCTTTTTGCCCCCATCGGGAATTTTATGTTGCATTTTGAGACACTGTATGGTCACGTTTCGGTCTGGACAGCAGCGCTGGGGACTCCGCTGCTTTTACAAGCATTTTGCGAGGCGGCGTGTTCGGCGACTCGAGTGCTGGTTGCGAGCATAACTGGCGTCAGACTGTTTTTTTTTCTAGAAAGCCTCCAGTTCATTGTCTGGCAAGCATGGATCTGCTGACCCCCGGTATCGTGGGGGAAAAAGGTATTACAGCAAGAAATTTCACATACTGTCGCAAATCTATGAAGGGGGGGGCGAAGAGACACTAACCAGTTATCGGGATGCATTTATATCCCCGCTGGGGGGGGGGGGTTCAAAGCTATCGGAGACAAAAAAAAAAAGCATCAAAACACATGAAAGCCAGATTTCCAGTTTACCTGATAGACGGACGCTTTGGGTAGGTCTAGGCACACCGTGCAGCAGAGTACGGAATACAATCTCTCCTCCAATTTCCCTGACTCGCCTTCCGGGAGTCTCACTCGCTTCTTGGGCGGCGCGTCCGGGTCAGACTCGGGCCCGGAGCCCTCTCTCCGCAGCCCGGCCTCCTCCTGCATTCCGGCCAGCACGGGCCCCCCCGCGACAGCTTCCAGGGCACCACCCACCGCACCGACACCTACACTGGCCGAGGAAGAGCCGGCAGCTGCCCCGACTCCTACGTCTCCCCGCTCTTCCAGGGAAGACATCGAGGTGTCTCTCGCTTCTCGATAAAATATCTGTCGCTCGATCCCCCCGCCCAACTTCCGACCCGAGCGGAGCTTTATCTGGCTACGGGCGGCCGGCTAGCAGCGTCCTCACAGAGCTACGTGCGGTAGCCTGCTAGCTAACTCGGTATCTGAGCGATTGTTTCGTAATATTCAGCTTCGGGTTAAAAACAATTTCGAAAGCCGATAAAATAGGGGCCCGGAGTTTGCGAATTAGCTGGCCGTCCGGCGGCCTGTCTGCGTAAATGTGTGGCGTTTATTCTATTTACACTAAAAGTTGATCAAGCTATCAGCCTTTAAAAACAGCAAAGTATTTTACCCTGCTCGGAACAAAACAGCCCCTGACGTACTGCTGACGGCTTTATCCGCGATGACAGCGCCCTCCCTGCAGCCCGCTAGCGATATGGTTCAGCACTTCGATCCCCGACTTTCTTCTCGGCCTGCCCGAGAAGCCTCGGACCTGACAGACCTTTAGAGAAGCCTCTGTATTGCGACTGTGCTTAAAATCGCCTCACGGACTACACAGCCATCTTTGTTTTCCTTCTGTCCGTCTCCTCCTCTGCCTGACTCCGCGGTGCGCAGCGACTCCCAATCAATTCCGCGAATACTGCGCAAAGGTCACGGATACGGCAAATCCCGAACTCCGTTGGTTGACGAATTGTCGATATTTTGCCAGTAGCTGCGATGGCTTCGCTTGCCATTCCTTCTGAGCCGTCACGGATTGGCTGCGTTTTGTTGAGTCACATGACTGGGGTATTTAAAAAGTTATTCGTCGCGCAGACGCAGTAGCCTTCTGCAGGTCAATTTTATGAGCGCGTGGTAAGGTGACTGGGGAAATCTGATATGCGACAAAAGAATGACTGTCCCGTTGGGCGTCACCTTTTGCGAAGTAATACTAAATTGCAGGATACATTGCATTGTCCACTGGTAAACCCGAATATTTCATTGTTTAACTGCTGAAAAGACCCTGTGATGGCAAACAAACCACAGTAAATAGATGTAGCCTACCATCACTTTCCTCGTAGAATAACAGGTGAGGTTAAAAACAATAGACTTTCTGATACCCATTGGGGACACACAAACCTGTGAAGCAGATATGCGCCATAACGCTTCTATTTCCTTCGAATTTATACTTTTATACAGTCAACAGTATTTCTCATTAATATTTTTAATATTCGTGTTTTGTTTGTTCTTGTTTGTATTATATATTCGACATAATCCCTAGACTCAACTACGAAAAAAATAGTTCACCTTGAGAGATCCTAACCTGTAACTCAACTTGTCAGTCGCTTTGGTCAGAACAGAAGTGTTTCGGATCTGTCTTTGGTTTGCGGAGTCGCGAAGCGGGTTTTTTTTTTTTTTTTTTTGGGAGGTGCTGTGGGCGCCGCTGTCACACGGACCCTGAAACGCGACGCCTGGGCGCACAGCTGCACGGCCCGCTGTGTGAATGTGATGCCACCATGTTGTTCACTTCCTCATTTACCTGTCCATCTATAACAAATTAGTGTCCTTTGCGGGCAGTCGTATCTGCGACTCATCATCTTATTGCTTATTAAATTTCTGTTAACAACATTCTTTTTCTTCATAACATTTTATTATAAAATGTAAATATGTTTACAAATACAAATTAAATTCATTTACTGAGGTTAGTCCCCCAAATCTTAACCAGGATATATGCGTGGAAGATGGGCTGCAGGAACTAGCCTTAACCTTGTCATTGGAAAATAAAGTTTTTTTTCTTGAAATACAGACACAATTTTGTTCCAGGTGGGGGGGGGAGGCAGTGAGGACCTTTATATGAAATTCATTAAAGGTTTAGTGTAAGTTCATAATGTATCTTCCATAACATACGTAACATAAGTATCAATTTTCAGATCAGTCTTTCTTTATTGACCTCCCCCAGAAGTGGTGCACAAATTTCTCCCACATTTATGACTGGGCTCTGGAAGCTAATGAGTTTGTAATGTGCACAGTGGCGAGTTGGTTGTTTGGGTGAAGCAGACTAGTGATTCGGGCCGGGGGGTACAGTGACAGCTACAACTGGTGACTGGGGGGTGGGGGGTGGACGGAACAGCGTCCTTAACAGAAGGAAGCAGCTGATGCTCTCACCTATCATGTTTGGAAATGACAACACAGATTTTTTTTTGTGAGGGGATTGCTAAATGTGCTTGGGGGGCTTTTCTGGTGCCATGTATTTCTGCATTTATATCCTTTGTGCACATATTTTCATTGTCCTTTAATTAGAACTCCACTGATAAGCTTTGTGGTTATTTGTAAACATTAATATGTTAAATTGTGAAAATATAGTGCTAGATGACCCACAAAATCACATGCTGAAAAAATGTTGGAGGTGGCACAGTAAAGAGTTCCTACACTACCTGTAGTCAAAGCAAGAAATATTTTATTCTGACCAGCTAATAATTCATTGAAACATAAGAGGCCTCTTCATTCCAGTTCATTGGTGCTCTGCTGGATTCCATGCACCAATAGGAAGCCTGTTCAGTCATGGCACTGTCTAGAAAGTTACATTGGGACCCCTGGACTTTTCTTTGGAGTAACGGCCTGCTTGTGGCCCAGGAGTTGGAGCAGAAATACAGGCCACTTTTATGTTAGTCATTCAAAAGGTTCTTCATTAATGGATATGGTGTCTGCCTTTGCTGGGCTCTGTGAAGACTGACTACACAACTACCGCACCATCAGGCTGGCTCTTGTCCTCTGCTCCCAGCTCCAGATCATTCTCCAGTGCTCTGGTGACCTCGATGGCACAGCTGGCCTTTGCTCTGCAGCCACGGGTGCTGGAGCGCCGCCCTGGCTGTCAGCCGCCTCTGCACATCCACCAGGAGCAGCTCGCTGGTAAAGTCTTTGGCATCTGTGAAAAGAACAGAAGTGTCAGCTCACGGGACCTGAACCCTGGGCGTTCAAAATGTGCCCTACAGCACCTAAAACGCTGATAGTTTTACACGCGAATCCACAACTACTGATGGCTTCTTCAAGTTGAAGATAAAACAGATCATTAGAGACCAGAGAGGAGTTTGTGTAATTATGATTTTGTTTTCCTTCAACTTCTACCAAGAACTTTTTTAATGAACCCAACAACTGAAGAACGAAATAAAAACAGTCAAGGGAAGATCTCCTGAGCGGGGGGGAGCATACAGACACACCGCAGACGTAACATATCCGAGAAAATCTCACCAGGAGAAATGCTGTCCCAGTATGGAGGCAGAAATTCGTACAGCCCTCGCTGGATGAGCTGAAACAGCTCGTCTTGATCCTTCCCCCTGCTCCGGAAGGGGGGAAAGCCACACAGCAGGACGTATGTAATCACCCCTGTAGCCCACATGTCCACTGGCAGCCCGTAACCTTCAGGGAAAGAGCCCACAAAAATATTGTTCAGGCTTGAAATTAAGGTGCCCATTAGCCATATGAAATTCCTGTAGATTTATTTTTATACAGCATCTTTCGTAATGCAGCTGTCCGGAGGCACTTAACAAGGGAGTGAGGCAATACACTAACTGATCATGGATATATGTCTGGAGGGGCTGGACCCGCATTAAAAATCGTCCCCCCTGTTAATGCTGTGGGCTCACAGACCCCTCGGACCGCTGGGAAAATGGCCGCTATGCCAGATGGGCAGTCCAGGGGAGATCCCAGGTAAAATTTATGATCTACTAATGTGAGAGAGACTGTGGATGTGAAAATGACCCCCCCCCCCCGAACAAATTCCTGCGTATTCAGGGTCCCAAATCCCCTCACCTTTTTCCGCAAGTATCTCCGGGGCCACGTAGGTAGGCGTGCCGCAGACGGTGAAGATGGGCTCCGTCACCACCATGGCCAGGCTGAAGTCGGCCAGCTTCAGTGTGGTGCTGCCGTCGGCATTGCGCTGCACCTTGACGGCCGAGAAACGAAATGCGACACCGTCAGCATGTGTCTTCTGCAGCTGGCAGCCACCGCGGCATCGGAACCCGCGTCCTCTGACACTTAATTCCCAGGTGGCAGATCTAGTTTCGGGGTGAGGGGGCATTCGGTGACCCGCCCACTGACAGAACAGAACGTGGAGCGGGTGGCTTTCACTTGGACCTCCTTCCGGATGGATCTGTTTACCTATGCTTTTATAATTAGGGAGGAGGGTGTGACACAGCGCTCCCCAAGGCCTGGTTTATCCTCACCACTGCCGGGCATTGACTTTACTGTTGCAGATCCATTAGTACTTTCATACATTGCTGAGGCATAAATAGGCTCCCCGACTTACGATGGGGTTTCCTTCCAATGAGCCAATATTAAATGGAAAATATCAGAGTCGAATATGATACGATAAATAAATAACCACAAATAACCACTGTCACTAAATAAATAATTACTGTAACTAACTGAATACCAGTAACTGAAAAGTATATAAATGAATTAAAAAAATGATTTGGTTAACTACAGAAAGAAAACACCGTCCGATATGTTGTTAAACACTGTATGAGATGCTTATGCTCACGGTCGCCACAGAGACTGAAATCATGGCTGCGTGGGTGCTGCTGTCGCCCGGCATCGGTGGAAAGTTTGATATGACACATCGCTAGCCCAGGAACAGGTCACAGGTCACAGGTCAAAGCTGACTACTGAACATGCATCGCTATTCACCATCGTAAAGTCGAAATATCAAAAGTCAGACCATCGTAAAGCAAGGAACACCTATATGCTATTTAAAATGTATACACCGACTCAGTATGGCATCATTGGTTATGAAACATGGATGGATGGATAAAACAACATGTAAACATCTCCTCCCCTTTAGCTATCTGAGACAGGAGGGACTCACCAGCAGGTTCTCTGGCTTCAGGTCTCTGTGCACGATGCTTCTGGAATGGATGTAGTCCAGCGCTCCGCACAGGTCACCCAGCATGTGGGCACTGCTCACCTCTGAGAACCTGCCGCACTCTGTAATGGCATCGAAAAGGTCGCCGCCGCGGACGAGCTCCATGAGCAGGAAGACGTGCTCAGCTGTCTCATAGTGCTGGAGCAGGTGCACCACGTTGGGGTGCGAGAGGCCGGATGCAATGGACACCTCGTTCTGGAGCATGTGCTCTTTGCCACGCAGCTTTGCACGGTCGATGATTTTCATAGCAAACAGGGGGGCTTCCACCCCCCCGGCGCGCACCCAGCACTCCCTCACCGTGGCGAAGTTCCCGTCCCCGATGACGCGACCCATCTCATAGTGGCACTCAATGTCCGCCTGGGAATGGCCCGCTCCGGACGCCAGGTGGCCTGGGAGGCTGGCCTCCGGCCCCGTCTCTGCCTTGCCTTCCGCCGTCACCTTATTCTTCGCTGGGCCACCCTTCACACTCTGTAGGGGGTGTGTCAGGTCCCCCCTGGGCCTCCCAGCTGCCTGCCTGCAGGTTTCCTCTTCCTGACATTCGTTAGTGGGATTCCCAGCCAGGCCTTCACCTTGGCCGTCAGCAGAGCGCAGACGTGTAGCAGGACTCTTCACCTTCTCGCCGGTTTCTCTGCTCTTCTCTTTCTTCCTCTCATCACTGGTTTGTGTGGGACGCACTGCAGTGGCTGCTGGCTCCTTCGGCCTTTGCTGGTCATCTTCTCCGCCGGCCCTTCCAGCCTGTGGCCACTCCCCAATCCCATGACAGCCGCTCTTCCTCCCCTCACCGCATGTACCGGTTTCCGCCATGGCCCGTGCTCCTCGCCTTCCTCCTGGAGCGAGCGGGGTGCCCTGGACCCCGGCCCTTCCACACTCCCTGCAGCAGGTGCCAGGGGCCTCCTCCACATGTCCCCCCGGTCTCTCGGCCTTGTTGGGCCTCCTCACCCGCAGCTGCTCGTCCTTCTGCCCTTCCCGTCTCGCTCGATCCCACTTCCGGGTCCGATCCCGGGCATTCTGCCCATCCCGTTCAGCTCTGTCCCTGGGTCTCCGGATGCTGTTTCCCGGCTCCCTGGCTTGCAGTCCCCGATCGGCCTCTGGCTCCTCGTGGAAGCCGCTGTCTGCCTTGGAGGCCTTCGCCGGTGCCCAGAGCAGTATCTCCCAAGCTCGCAGGACGGCCCCGTGGAAACAAACGTCCCCCGGGAAGAGCTCCTCCAGCACGGCTTGCACCTCTGCCACAGGCGGCCTGTCCCTGGCCGCGGCCACGAAGATGTCGTCGTTACGGAAGAAGTCGGACACGCTGCGGATCTCGCCGCCCCAGAGGCCAAAGAGTCTGCGGACACGGTCGTTCTTCCACCGCGGGAGGCCCAGCGCCACGGAGATGTCCGCCACCAGCTGCTCGAAGGTCTGCACTGCACGCCTGTTCAGGAGGATGGTGATCTTCCTCAGCGGAGCGCCCCCCCCTGGCCGCACCACCGTCACAATCTTTGGCCGCATGGGGCTGTCCTCTGCATGTGTACTGAGGAAGGCAAACCTGCCAGCACTGGGCCGGTGCGGATCGTCCAGTCGGCAGGACCGCAAGTGCTGAGACCTGCAGGGAGGGAGCGGAGCGCAGCCGGGCCGGGACCGGCATTCCCCATGCCATCTATCCTGGGACACGATGCTTTTGGGAAAAGTCGTGTGTTGTCCTGAAACGATCAAGGAGAAAGATTCATTAAACGTAGTACTGACTGCATCCAGCCATTATATCAAATGAGCGTTTAATGATAAGTGTTGCAGAGTCCCACTTGTTTTAGCAGTAACAAAATCAAATAACATAATTAAAAGTACTGAAATTTAAATGGGCTCGTTACTGTTTTATAGTGCTGTAGTTCTCGAGACCGGTCTTGGTCTCAAGACCGGTCTCGAGACCAATTTTCTGTGGTCTCGGTCTTGTCATGGTCTCGACTCTATTTGGTCTTGGTCTTGTCTTGGTTTCGACTCTATCTGGTCTCGGTCTTGTCTTGGTCTCGGACATAGCGATCTCGATGGGATGGGGAAAAAAAGAGGAAACCGGACATCCTCACAGAACAGTATCATTATTTATTATGCGCCTCAATTCAAATGCAACCAGTCAGATGCATCTATTTTAAAAATGTTACATTTTATACATTTATACATATACGGACACTGCCAATGTTTCACAGTCCACACACATCATACACATCGCATCATAGCGAAGTCGGCAAAGAAATGTCCGCGAAGTCTATAGTATAGTTATAATTCAAATAAATTAAGTATTTTACATTCATTAGAAAGCACAGTCTTAGAGGTGCAAGTCAATCTGGAGACTCATTCTCTTCAATTCAAAGCAAAGGATCATTACATAGCCGTATTCATAGCTTACCGCAGGGGTTCCCAAACTTTTCAGCTCACGACCCCCAAAATAAC